CCCCAAAACCCCAAAACCCCAAAACCCCAAAACCCCGTTGGGAGTGGGAGGGGTTGAAATTTAGGGGGGAAATAGGATTATTAATTTTGGAGGAATGGAAAATCGAGAGATTAGGGTTATTGACTGGGATACTTATTGACTGTGCAGGAAGAGCTTTGAGGTTTGGTTAATGGATGAGGACAAGCAAAGTATCACAAAGATTGGAGAAGTAAGTTTCTTATACCTGTTTATCGAGCAAATTCTTGAATATTTTCGCTAAACTTTGTTTAATAAGCTTTATGCTGACTCTTTTAAAAGAGATTATATTTAATTATTTTCTATTAAAAGCTTGAATTAATTTTAATAAAATTTTTAATGTCTCAGCATTAAATTCTGGTTTTGCTGGATTTTAAGTTTGCATCCAAACAATTATTATAATATTCCCGATATTTTCACTGAAAATGTTAATTTCCCCAAACAATCCATATTTAACCCCCTTTTGAGTGACTTAGCACTTATGCTGAACTAATCAAAAGCATACTATTTAACCTACTGAGTGGACTTCTTTTTCACCTTATTGGCACTGGCTCCCCTAAATTATGACAAAAATTCTTTATCATAACTATATAGAAAATTTTAAACAACCTCCAAGAAGAAAAGAAATCAGACTGTGAGAGTGACTGGGAGATCATTGATCAGGAATCGAACCTGAGTTTGGATCAAGACACTGAAGACCAAGAATTAAGTCTTGAAATAATAGAATTCTGATATGTTATGCTGAAGACTTCGGAAAATTTCGAATCAACCCTCATAATGACGAAACCAGACTCTGCTCTGGTGTTCAATAATATTATCTTAGCCTGAGCAGAGGAAATGAAGATTAAGACGTTGGCAATTGAAGCTATCAGCTGAAGAGAGGTCCTAGCTTATAGACTAGGCTTCCTTGTAGGAGCAACTCAAAACAGTTGAAAATGAAAAATTTATTCTTCTAATGAGAACATCATAAATAGTGAAATAGGTGCAAAAATGATGTCAGACTCGGAGGGCTCCTCTTCTGGCTGAATAGAAATTCTAGGATTTTCGAAGTTTAATTCTTCGATTGAAGGATTTTTCGAAAATAGTGACCAGTCATTACAAGCTTCTCTTGAAAAAGTTTCTTTAAATAAAACAGGTTTAAAGACTGGTATTTTGGCCCATCATAGCTCTAAATCTGGCTCGGAAGAGAACTTCAAAGCTGATCCCTTTTACTGTCAACAAATTGATAATTTATTAGAGATTATTATAAAAGATCTTTCTAACAGTATAACCGAGAAATACAAGGAGAAGCTTCCTTTAAAATCTCTTGACTCTGAGAACTTGTTTTTGACTAAAATTCGTACTGTTTTTGAAGATAATAAAAAGATCATTAAGTTTAAGCCAAGTGAGGAAGAAGAGGACTTCTTCTGGAAATACTATGCCAAACAGCTGGTGGTAAAGAAAATTATTGAAGAGAAAGTTGAAAAAAACCTCCTAGAAAGTATTTTTCCTAAGGAAAATGATCAGCAAGATATAACAACTAAATCCTGCAAATGCTGAGAAAGAATGAAAAGAAAATTCTGCCTCAAAGGGCACAGGCTGGTAGCTAAAGTGAAACTCTATGGCTGTGTGTTCTACACTATTATCAGGCATATTTTGGATTATCGGGGCGAAACTGATACCATGAAGACCCAGACTCTTCATGATCTCCTGGACTGTATATACAAGACGCTTAAGAATTATTACAACTCAAAATATGTGACCAAAGAGCAAAAGGCTATTATTAAGAAGGATAAAAAGATTAAATATATGATTGCCGAGATAATGCGAATGAAAGGACTTTGGGGATGAGAAGGAAAGAAGTTCCAACTTTATCCTAAAAGCTGGGAACTGTTCCACAATCTGTTCAAAAATAGCTCCCCTAAAACTGTAGTTCATTTGCTGTTAGAGATGCTGAAAAGTATCATTAAAGAGTCGAAATAATAATATTTTAAGTTAAAAATAAACCTAACTGTAAGCTCCTTCCTAAAGTATGCAAATTCTATTCCCCCTAATTCTCTATTTTGTCTTCACATCATCTAACCGACAACTTATCCCTAACACTTTCAAAAATAATAATCCAAAATTTTCAGCCTGAAAAAATCTCCCCTATTTCCCTCTCTAACTCCAAAAATCCCGACCTAAAAGTCCCTAAACCCCTTCCTTACCCCATTCTTGTCCCCCGTTTCACCTCAAAATTCTCCTCGAGCCCCAAAATTGGGCTTCACCAGGCCCTAAAATTCCATAAAATTTACCTTAATTTCCTACTAAAATCCTGAATTTTACCCCTGCCAGCAGCCAAGAGTTGCAGAAGGACTGGAAAATCCAGTGATAGTAGAATTAATTAATTTCAGTGTTCAAGTTGAGGTAGAATTTAGGGGTTTTGGGGTTTTGGGGTTTTGGGG